CCTTATTATCTACAAAGTTTCATGAAATTCTGTTGTGTGGTATCAGAGGAGTTGCGATGACAAACTGTTGCATAGTACATTGAAGCAAATAAGTTCAAAGGGGCGTAACTCCTAGAAAAAAAATTGAACCATAATTTCCTGTCGATATGCACATCTACATAGTATGTCCTTATTATCTAAAAAGGTTTCATGAAATTCTGTTGTGTGGTATCAGAGGAGTTGCGATGACAAACTGTTGCAGTAGTACATTAAAGTAAATAAGTTCAAAGGGGCGTAACTCCTAGAAAAAAAATTGAATCGCAATTTCCTGTCGATATGCATAAATACATAGTATGTCCTTATTATCTAAAAAGGTTTCGTGAAATTCTGTTGTGTGGTTTGAGAGGAGTTGCGATGACAAGAAACAGGACTGACGGACTGACGGACGGACGGACGGACGGGTCAAAAACATTATACCCTCCGCAACTCGTTGCGTGGGGTATAAAAAAGATAATGAATAGCTTTACTTCAAATGGAATTAAAGCTTTGATATAAATGTTTCATTTGATGAATTTTTTGAGTTAATACTAAAAATTTCCCCAAAACATTTCAAAAGTGAAGTTTATTGAGCCACCTTTGGAAACGGTATGATTGCCAATGATACAACTATCCACCAAAGACCAAAGGAAAGGAATGTGAACAACAACAGGTCACTCAATGGCTGGAGATAGTATGATTGCCAATGATATAACTATCCAAGGATAAGAATGTGATAAACAGCAGGTCACTTAATGGCTTAAAACAATGAGCAAACCCATAAGATATAATAAACTTTAAATAAATATGGATAGTGTCCACATGTGGACACAGATGATGCCCCCCCTTGCATATCATATAGTTATAAAGGGACATAACTGAAGAACGGTAAAAGTGACGCTACCCAAATTTGAACTTGATCTGAGTTTTGTGGAAATAAGCATTGTGTGTAAGTCTCATAACATTTGGTTGAGGTTAACTTTAGTAGAGAACAGAACCTAAAAATTCAGCAATTTTTCTATTTGTAAACATGCATAACTCTAGAACGGTGGTGTATAAGTTTATAACATTTGGTTGAGACAAACTAAGCAATTTGTATGTTTATAAAGGGACATAACTCAAGAATGGTAAAAGTGTTGCCACCAAATTTCGTACCTAATCTGTATTATGTAGTAATAAGCATTGTGTATAAGTTTCATAACATTTGGTTGAGGCAAACGAAAGTTAGAAAACGGAAACAAAAATTTGTACTTGATCTTAGTTTTGTGGTAATGAATATTGTGTATAGGTTTCATAATGTTTGGTTGGGGCAAACTTAAGTTACAGAATGGAAACTAAAAATTTTGCAATCTTTCAATTTATAAAGGGGCATAACTCAATAATGGTTAAAGTGACACTACCAAAATTAACTTGATCTGTGTTTTATCAGTGAAAGTCAAAATTAAACATTGGATTGTATAAAGCATTGATTGTAGTTGATTCAACTATAATCATGGACAAAGGAAGATAACTCCAATATTAAAATTAAATGCTCCGCTGGGCGCAGCTTGATACGACCGCAGAGGTCGAACCCTGAACAGTTGAGGCAAGTATGGAGACAACATTCAAGCTTGATACAGCACTGAATTTGGATTGTGATTAAATATTTGACACAGCATAGGTTTCTGACACAGAATGAATGTGGTCTAAGAACTTAAAAAATCTTAATTTACCTATTCAAACCATATCATTATTATTTGCTTTTATATATAAATCAGAAATAACCAATTAAAAATGGAAAATTTTAAAGAAAAAAAAGGAAACCCCCCCCCCCCCCCCCCCCCAATTTTTGAACCCATTTATGATTCATCACCCCCAAACTCAATCCCAGCCTACCCATTGTGGTATGGTACCTTGCAGTACAATTTCAGAGAGACCCATACACTTGAACACAAGTCATTGTCTGGAAACTAGAAAAATGCTTGTTTTTTGCCCCATTTTGGCCCCTAATTCCTAAAATTTTGCAGCAATTACCCCCAAAATCAATCCCAGCCTTCTCCTTGTGGTATGGTACCTTGCAGTATAATTTCAGAGAGATCCATACACTTGAACACAAGTTATAGTCTGGAAACTAGGAAAATGAAGAAAATGCTGTATTCTGTTTAATTCTCCTTATGCAATACCTTGATAATGGCCATAAATGCACTGTGCTTATCATTTTATTGTCCTTACTGCACACGCTATGTGGAATATAGTAGTTGTCTTCTCTATCCTCTTACCCAAATGCTGTCATACTGGGTAGGATTATTTAGAAAGAAATGAAGAAAGAAAAATGCTTATTTGTGGCCCCTTTTTGGCCCCTTATTCCTAAACGTTTAGGGCAATTACCCCCAAACTCAATTCCAGCTTTCCCATTGTGATATGGAACCTTGTAGTAAAATTTCATAAAGATCCATACACTTACACACAAGTTATTGTCATGAAACTAGAAAAATGCTTGTTTTTTGCCCCTTTTTTGGCCCCTAATTCCTAAAATTTGAGGTAATTACCCCTAAAAACAATCCAAGCATCCCTTTGTGATATGGAACCTTGTGGTACAATGTCAGAGAGATCCATACACTAACACACAAGTTATGTCTGGAAGTTACAAAAATGCTTATTTTTGGCCCCTAATTCCTTAACTGTGGTACCATAACCCCCAAAATCAATCCCAACCTTCCTTTTGTGGTATTGAGCCTTATGGTAAAATTTCATTGAGATCTATTCACTTAAACTAAAGTAAGAGTGCGAAAACCAATGTGTCTTCGGACGACGACGACGACAACGCCAATGTCATACCAATATAAGACCATAAAAATTTTTTTGCGGTCGTATAATAATTACTTGATATTTAGAAGAAAATAAAAATTTTGTAATTTTTCCATTTATAAAGGGGCATAACTCTAGAACGGTTAAAGTGATGCCACCAAAATTCAAACTTGATCTGTGTTTTATGGTAATGAGATTTTGTATAAGTTTCATAACATTTGGTTGAGGCAAACTACAGTTAGAGAACGGAAACAATAAATTCAGCAATTTTTCCATTTGTAAAGTGGCATAACTCTAGAACGGTAAAAGTTAAGCCACCAAAATTCAAACTCGATCTGTGTTTTGTGGTAATAAGCATTGTGTATAAGTTTCATAAAATTTGATTGAGGCAAACTTAAGTTAGAGAACGGAAACCAATTTTGGGACGTACTTACGTACGTACGTACCGACAGACAAGGGTAAAACTTAAAAATGAACTGCTTTGAAATTGGACAGGTCTGATCACAATCTTTAAAATAACTATTTGCAGCTTATTCAATAAGGACATAACATTTAGGAGTCATGGCAATGAGTGTATGGTTCAATGTCAGCATGATTTGTCTGGTTGTAGGGACATGCTTCCCTGTAGACTGTAGCTACCACTTTAAATAGCAAGCTCAACACGTTGGTCTCTTACAAAGATAGGTTCAAATTTATCATCAAATTCTTATCCTGTCTGACAGTGTTCTCCTTTTTTCACTAAGGTAAGGTGGGTGTTTTGAAAAAACCACTTGCAACTGGGTGTTTTGTTCTTTTTAAACATTTCCAACCAAGGTTTTTTTTACTGTGGGTGGGAGTCACAAAAAGAAGGATTAGTTTTGTATTCATATTTAATGGAATTGAACAAAAATGAATAGATGTCAAATATTCTTCTTTGATTTGATTTTTTCAATAATTTAATCCTTTTTTCTCTTCTTTCATTCACTATTTTATGCATCAGCATTGATTTAACAACAATAGACTTAAGTTCTTTGTTTCTTTGTCCACACTTTTTGATACTATTTATCAAATTATGTCTCTTTCTTAAATTTCCCCAGCTTTTAAGTGCTTCCTCAAAATTGTGACGATTAGCCATTTAAAGTCCTATTCATATTTATCTTCACTTGCGTGCCTTTTCCGTTGTTTTGATGCTTTTTTTTTCAATTTCAACAATTCCAATACAAATATCCATTTCAGTTGACTTATTTGGCCTAGAACTTTCCTGATCAACATCGTCATCTGCCTTTCTCTTTCCCCGATTAATAAAAGGAAACATTGAAATTTGACGATCGGCCATTTTTTTCAATGAAAACAAATCAGCGAGGCGGGATTAGTATTTAAATTTTTACGGTGCGGGCAAAAAAAAAAATCCAGAATTTGAAAAAAAAGCAGACCACCTCCTAAAATGGAAAGGTGGTCAGCTTTCAAAAGAAGGTGGTCGGCACACCCGGCTTAAATGCCGAATGGTAAACTCTGGCCTGAATATGGTTTAGAAATAACCTGATGAAAAACTATCCTCAAATACATCCATTTATCCACAGTTGCTGGGATTCATGTTTTCCGATAGAGTCTAAAGTTGGTTAATGGCCTACATTTTAAAAGCAAGTTTGGGACCATTAAAACTTATCAAAAACTTTCTGACGGACCATAAAACATCTTGCACATATAAAATATACCCAGTCTGATCAGCAGTTTTCATTGTGTGGTTGCTGAAATTTTTCCAATAGGTTTAACTATATTCTACAGTAACAGCCACAATAAATTTTAAAAGGCCATTTCCTATATGTATGATTTTAATATTTAGTCCATGTCTGATGAGATGACAGAAGCTGTATACATGGTTTCCCCATGAAGACCTCGTGTTTATTTGTCAAGGCTGACATGTAGGTTTTAAACAAGACAAATACCCTGTCTGTACCTGCATCGCTGCATGCAATTGATTGATGTAATATGTATACTGGAGTATTATTAATTTTTCCCTTTCACTGATGTCAAGCAAACTTTCACCAAAAATTTCCTTGTACAATGTGTGTTGTAAAATTTCAAACTATTGGCAAACAGGAAGTAGCTTCACAGCAGATGTAATAAATTGCTTCGCCGAGCGCAGCTTGATACGACCACAGTGGTCCAACCCTGAACAGTTGGGGCAAAAATGGACACAATATTCGTGCTTGATACAGGTCTGAATTTGGATTGAAATTAAATGTTTGACACATAATAGGTTTCTGACACAGAATAACTGTAGTCAAAGAACTTAGAATTGGTTATATGATTTGAATTTATATTCAATTTTTTGCTTTTGTGCAATACACTATGCTGTTGCAAATTGCTCCCCCCCCAAAAAAAAATATTTACCCCCCAACCCTCCTTTTTTTTTTGCTTTTGTGCAATACACTATGCTGTTGCGAATTGACCCCCTTCAAAAAAAAATTTCACCCACCTTTTTTTTTGGCAAAAATTTTTTTTTTCACCCCACCCCCTTTTTTTTTACAAAAAAAAATAATATCAGAAGAAATTTTCTTTTTAATTTCTGAAATCTGTGATGAAAAAAAAATTGTCCCCCCCCCCACAATTTTTTTTCACCTCCCCCCTCCCCTTTTTCCAAAAAAAAAAATATTTCCCTCAAGATATGGTCATTATCTCAATTCAAATTTCCAATGGAGTTTGCAACCATAATTATCCATTTAAATACATCATAAAAGTCTTAAAATAGAAAATGACATACATAATCATGTCTAAAAATAATATATCTTTAATCAGCATTTTTATTAGTAACTTCTAAAAAATAAATTGACAGCTAATCACCTCATGACAATACAAAATTTCTTTATACATAATTTTAAAGCAGTGTAAGGGAGGTAATCCAAATTTAACATTATACTAAAAAGTGATTGTCCATTAACAAGGAAACCCTTGTTTTTTCCCCCTTTTTTGTCCCTAATTCCTAAACAGTTTGAGCCATTACCCAACAAAGCCAATTCTAACCATCCCTTTGTGGTATGGAAACTTGTTGTACAATTTCAGAGAGATCCATACACCGTTCCACAAGTTATTGTCTGAAAACTAGAAAAATGCTTATTTGGGCCCCTTTTTTTGGCCCCTAATTCCTAAACTGTTCAGACATAACCCCCAAAATCAATCCCAACCTTCCTTTTGTGGTTATAAACCTTGTGTTTAAATTTCATAGATTTCTATTAACTAATACTTAAGTTATTGTTCTGAAACCAAGTGTCTTCGGACGACGACCTGATACCAATATACGACGTATAAAAATTGCTAACTTGCTACAATTCAACGTTATCAAGCTGCCGACTAAATATTAAATCATTTCCTTTCAAGTTTTCTTTCGAATGGACAGACAGACTCAGACGAGCGGTTACTAGACCTCCTTCCCCTGTTAGCAACACAGGTAAAATTGATAAACAACAGATGTCAATTGAAGAGAATGTCAACATTGGCCTTTTAGCTAGAAAAGGTATAAAATGATATAAAAATTTGTTTTAATAAAGAGTACTTTACCTTTACATTTGGTCAGTTCGCCCTCAGCTCTCTTCTGCAGTTGTCTTGCTTCTCGAAGCAGTTCTATAAACAGAAAATACTCTCTTTTAATTAAGTTGAAAGATCATTTAAAGCAAAGATTTTCAATGTTACCAACTCTCAATACTTAAAATGATTGCCAAGTTCATCCCATAGATCAATGAAGATAACAATATTTATGAATTAGAGATAATTCAAATTCTAAAACTGAAAATAGGAAACTTGCCAGGCAATTTATTTAAAAAAAAAATAAATTATTAAGTATGAAATAATAATCAGGAACCTCAAAATAACCCAAATTTATGTTAGAACATTTCTAATGACTTTAAAACATTTTGTATTGATTTTTTTTTACTTAAATGAATAATAATTTTATCCAAAAAGTTAATTTGCATGCAATAGGCTTTTATATTTTATTATATAATCATATGAAGTGATTATCAGTTCTTGTATAAATCAAACTTGTCCATAGCTGCATAAATGAAAATGTTACACTGATAATCAAACATATCTTTGAAATATAATGGATATAACAGTTGAAAAACGAATATGTGCCCCACTCACACTATACCATTTTCATGATTAAGTGAGCTGTGAAATATGGGTCAACCTAAATTTGGCATATATTTTGGAAAGTTTACATTATAATGAAAATGTGAACTTAATTTCCAGCTTACAATAATATGCTTATCTATCATTAACAAAAACAAGGTTAAAACTTAATACCCCCTCTGCTATGGCGGGGGCATAAAAACCTTTATCCTGACACAGGATGGACATATCAACAGACAAATGGACACACTGACTAACAGGCAGACAGACATGAAAACATAATGTCCCCTACTATCATCGGTAGGGCATAAAAACAAACCTTACCTTTCAAATTATCATCATCTTCAAGACCAGAGTCAGTTAAGTCTGAATCATCTAGGTGATTACTCAAAGTCTGATCAAAGCTTGAAGCTACGACTGTCATGTCAGCCTTATCTGTGGTGGTCTTTATATTAACTAATTCTGTTTCCAGACTCACTACTCGATCTAATTATGAAATGTAAATATATATTCACTTAACATACAATAATTCATTGTTTAATCACAACTTATAGAACAAATGTCTATATTGAAAGTAAAACTAAAGTTCAAAACAGTTTTTGTTATACACTTTACAAATTTTCCTCTTATTCTAAAGTGTTCAAAACAATTTTTGTTATACAGATTTTCTTCTTAACAAAAGTATGCTAACTAAAGGCATCTAAAGTTTCTTTATAAATGTGTGCTGCTATGGTAAGCTTACATGTGACAACTTTTAGATAATATTGATTTTTAAGAAAATATAAGTCTGTACTAAGTTCATGTTACAAACTACTTATCTACTGAAATAAATCCTAGACAAATTATCATCGAGACCTAACCATCTAGGGAGCACTATTTTCATTTTTTTTACTCAATAAATCAGTTTCTATGAAAAAAATAATGATTCAGCCTCTTTTCCAAAAAAAATTAAATTGAAGGCCACAAAATAAAATAAACTTTAACAGTAAATTTTCTGTGAGATTCAATGTTTAAGACTGATTTAAGCATATAAAAGCTATATTTCAAAATGTCCTTATAAAACTGACTAATGGGTGTGAAATATTACCAATATTTTGTACCAATTATTTAAGTCTTACAACCAACTGGATTCTACAGTTCTTTCATTTAGGAAATAAGCAACCAACCAGTAATGAAATATTGCCTTATCCCCCATTCTATAGAGTTAAATGAATCACCTTGTAAAGTTTTGATTAGTGTGTTACTGCCATCAGCCTGTTTGTGAGATTCTTTCAGTTGCACTGCAAGAAAATCACACCAATGTTAGTATGCCATATACAAATGAGTGTGAAAAATAGGTGAAAAACAATAAGATACCAATTTTCATAATCCAAAAAAAAAAGTCCTTCCTTTTTAAATTACACGCTTTACACAGTTTATTTTAAAACTATAAATGATCAAATGTTCCACGGATGTAGATTTTGTGCTCTTATAATTTATTTTATGATTAATTGAATCTAGAATTTTCTAAATGAGGATAAGTATATTCATTCAACAACACTATAATGATAGAGGATTGTGTGCAGCTCACACATTTTTACTGCCTGCTCTCAACACCTGTTAAAGTCAACTAAGGAGGCATGTAATGGTAGAGAAGTGAAAAAGAAGAAAACTACAATCAATATAGGTCACAGTGACTTATTTTCAATTGAGAAACTTTAAAGGCTACATAGATGCATCCTTTCACCAAGTGACATGTTTATATATTACTTTGTTAATGTGATGAACTATTTTTCATGTCTAGGCCTTTTATAGCCGACTATACGATATGGGTTATTCTCATTGTTGAAGGCCATACGGTTGCTTATAATTGCTCACATCCACTTTATTTGAACTTTAGTGGATAATTGTCTCATGGACAATCATACCTCATCTCCTTATTTTTATAAAACATAGAAACTGTATAAAATTAATCTCAAAAATATGAAAATTGGTATCTTTTTATACGTAAATAAATTTTTAAATATTATATATGTATATTGCAGTTGCTAGTTTAATAGTAAAATGTTAGGGAGGGAGTTCCTCAGGAAATTTCTAAGGATTTTTGGTAATTTTAATTATAAAACTAAAAAATTATGGATGAGAGTATTTACTCTAATTAGCCATGTATAATCCATATTTATGTATAATCTGTTCACTCTTTTTTCATCAAGTGAGTTTTAAAAAAAGATGTGTCACTTGTTCAAACAGCCAGTGAAACTCTGGTATCTTTCAAGTCATGTGTCAGTGTTTTCAGTATTTTAATGAACACAAACAAAAATGCTGATGTATGATTCTAGAACACTTCACAGGTATCAAAATAAGCCAAAATCACTTAAAAAATAAATATATAAGTTGTGTTTTCGTTTTTTAAATTGTGTGTGTAAATTGCAAGCATATTGGGTGAGACCGAGCGAGTATGTGGAAGTCCCATATTTAATAGATATAACAATAGAATAGGACTTTGAAAGTAAAACAGTACTGTCTTTAAGTTAAATACTGTTTTATTTATTCAACACTTAAAGGTGTGAAGGATCTTTAACTTAAACAAAATACTGGCAGCTGAAATAACTGATTAAGTTTTTTTTACTTTCTACATAGTTGTGCAACACTATTAGAAGAAAGAAAAAATTTGTAATGAAGCATTATATTTTGATATTCATCAATAAATACTGGAATTTTTAATTAAAATTGCATATTAATATGGATTAGGTAAATGATTAAAGAATTGAAAAGAAATTTGACAAGAACAAACATGGTGAACTTAAACAAAAATTGCAACATCTACTTTTTCTGTCATTTCTAGCTTGAAGTACTGAATAATTGTTCCCCCTGCCCTGAAATTTTAATTTTTGAGTCATAAAACTGTGGATTATACATGTCCAAATTAGGTATGTACTTTTGGAATTGAAATCATTCCCATAATTATGACATCAGAAATTTCCTCAATAAACACTGACAGGAGATATTTCTTTCCTGTAATGGTGGACAATTGTGCAATTGATATATAGTTGTATATGGTATTTAATTGAATAGCAAATTAAACAATGAATTTGTTTTGAATGAAATACTTATACTGCTTAGTAAGTTCTTGTTTATTGCAACATTAATCTGTTTACTATTGTAAATGGTGAGTTGAAATTGTTTGCTTACAAAATAATTGTTGTGCAATTGTGTTGGGGGTGGAATTGCTGTGTGTGTCAACATAAATTTTTTTTAAACAGCAAGTATATTTCAGTTTTACACAGGAACAACCAGTTTATTTAAAAGGTGGACTTGTATAATAGGCTTATAAAACTTACAACAGGTATGTAAAGATAACATTAGATACAGTCAGTGCTCATAAATATTCATGATTTATGGTTTTTTACTACATAGTTCATACAAACCATATAAAAAAAATTAAAATAATAAGATGACCTGTTATATTGGATTTTCATATGATCACCACCAAAAATACTCAGAAATGATTACAGTTGATTTTAATCTAGCTCAATATAGGGGTGGAACCGTGGAAGGACTTTTTTTCAGGACGTAGGGATTGGATCATTATTTTTGCAGGAATTTGGGATTAACACTTATCGGAACTCAATTAATTTTTTGGGATCCAGGAAAGACTGCTTTATTTTTTTGGGAATTCGGGTTTCAAATTTTATGTTTTTATAATTCTCATTTCTGGATGACACCCCCTCCTACCTCCCCCTCTTAATTTCTTCTGATAAATTACAGTGGAATGGTCAGCAAGAGCCAATACAACAAGAATGCATGTGTTGTCCTGCTAAGCATACCCCTTCTTGTAATTCAAAGTATCTGAAAACCAAGAGTTGGTATCTGAAAGATCTGAAAGGCAATTTCACCTTACAACTCATCACTTCCAAGCTGTTGACTTAATTGTTTTAGAATTTTTTGAGAAAAGTGTGACAAAAATTTTAGTTCATTCTGTATATTGAAAAATCAAAGTATCAGTGTCTGACAGATTTTAAAAGTGTTCGCAAGTAACAACTAATGACTGTCAAGCTGCTGATGAATAAAGTCATTCTGTTCAAAAGTACTGGAGACATAAGTGATGGAAATCTCTAATTTCATTCAACACAATATTGAAAAATTCAAAATATTGGCATATAGGAAGTAGGTGTCTGACAGACCTGAAAAGGTACAGAATTTTCTGAAAGCCCCAACAGTTCAGAAAAAGTTATGAATACAAAAGGCAGATGTACAAATAGATAAACAAATGAATGAATGAATGAATGGACGGGCAGACTAACAGACACAATACTCTCTTTATATTCCCTAGCTTTGCTAGACTGAAGGAGGTACTACAAAATAATGTAGACAATTCTAAATATCAAATTAGACATGGTTAAACAGTAATCATTTTTTTCCCAGATAAAAAATCATGCAATTATGCAGTAACAAAATGTAAATCAGGAATGCATTTTACAACCACTGACTGTAAATTGTACACTTAATTTAATTAGGTATTCTGTCTAGTGTGCTGTCAGCATTTTTAAATGATATAAACTGCTACCAAAAATTAAAAGACATTATGCTACAAAAGTTTCAACCAAAACACCAAAATATTAAGGCAATAAAGGAAAAGAAGCAGTAAAAATACAGAAATATTGCATAAACAAGATGTCAAATAAGCAATGTAAGCATAAAACAGCACAACAAGGTCAAATTCATTTTGAGTATGCATAAAACAGCAAAAAAAAGTCTGAAATAGGCAAACTCCTTTTTTAAATTTTGTTCTTAACATCAAAATGAATAAATGCAATATACATTTAATTTAATTTTTGTTTTGATTTATTACATTGTTTTATTTATAACATTACAGCACTGAGAGGGATATGGTAAAATAAAACAAATTGTCCATGTAAAATATCCACACTTACCATCATCAATTACTGCACCTTAAATAACACATGTAGGTCATAATAATTCTATCTCAATATTGAATTTCTTTTTCTTTTTTTCTTCTTCAAATTTATTAAAATTGTATAAAAAAAATCCCAAAAGTTTGTATTGTGTGTACTGTTCAAAAATGTTATTACTAACACCATATTATCCCTGATAAAGATACTTAAGGTATTCTTAGATAATTTAGGTTTGCTAATTCAAGTCCTTTTACTGTTTTGCTATAGTTAAAGATTTGAGTTTTTCTATCTTTCTAGACTTTTAGCATACCTGAATGATATATGAAAAATAACTGCATGCAATTCTAAATGTTCTGTAAATTTATCAATACTAATTAAAAATATTATCTTGAGTCTTGTTTTTCATTTGTCATTTCAAGGCCTTTTATTTCTTACTATGCTGTATTGGTTTTGCTCATTGTTAAAGGCCTATAGTTTTTAACTTCTATGTCATTTGGTCTCTGGTGGAGAGTTGTTTCCTTTGCAATTATACCACATCTTCTTATTTTTATATGTAAAGTTCTAATGCTGGGATTTCAAGTTCTATGATAATTTTTATGTACTGAACTAATTTCCAATGATATTCAAATATTTTCTTTTGTTTTAATTTATTCAAAAACCAGTACTATCAGACACTGATAAATTTGCAAAGAAGCAGACACAACCAGAAAACTGAACATAAAGAGATATGAAAAGCATTAGAAAATTATACAAAATGTTTGAGTCTTTGAAGGAAGACGAGAGTCGACTGCCGTCTCTTAAATAATATAAGCATAAATGTCAAAGAGTGAAGTTTGGTATAGAAAATACCAGATAACACTGAGATTAAAATTTAAGTAGCAGGTGCCCAACATCATGTCATTTAGCAAGTTTAGTGGAATTCTGTCAAGCAGTGCTCAAGAAGTTACTGATTAACAAACTGCTATAAGCCAATGGATAAGTCGATGTTTTGGTATGGGAAACTTAAAATCACTCAATTGAAAATTTGAATGGCAAGAAAAAAAAACATGTCCTGTGGCAGTATCTTTGAAAGTTTGGTTGAATTCTGACAAATTGATTTCTAGGAGTTGCAGATAATGTTTAGCATACTGTGACATCAACAACAATAAATAGAAGTACTCTCTATGTGTAGCTACAGTATTCTTATTAGGCCACACAATAAAATGCTTGATACATTAAGATAAGGCAGAAACTTACTTTTTAAGTCAGACATGGTATTCTCCATCATTTGGTTCATGTGCAAATCAGACAGCTTAAGCTTTTCTGCATAACAAAAGGGGAGACAACCCAATCAAAGTCAATACATGCAATGAAACTGTAAACTGAACAGGCAGCAAACAGAGAAATGAAAATATTTCTATGGAAATAAAGTCCATAAGAAAAGAGATATAAAAGCTTACTCAAATATACTGCTAAAATGTAATATATGACACTTAAAATATAGACAAACAATTAGGCTTGTGTGTTTATTTTACTAAACAAACAATGAACCAATTAAAAAAAAATTTAAAATAAAAAGTGTCATCTAATTTAAGTTTCTTATACAAAAATTGTTACATGCTATTCATAAATTATTTTTATAAATAATAGAACAAAGGAAGAGCAGTTGTAATGTATACCAGTTTTTGCAAGAAAAGTAGATACATAACAATCTGCTTTATTGAAGTAATGAAGTAAATAAATTTTGACCGCTTAATAATATAAACCCACATAAAGAAAATAAATTACCTTCTAAAGAAGATATCTTAGCCACATACTGCCTAGTATCCAATTGTGCTATTTCTAAGTCTTCTGAAAACAGATAGCATGGTGAGATTCAAGTTTTGTAATTATCATAAACATTTCATGAAAAAAATATTCAGAAGAATCTGGCAAATGGAAAATTAACAAGTTGAATTGTGAGTTATTGCTACAAATGATTCTTTTGATTGATTGATTGGTGTTAAACGCCACTTTCAACACTATTGTGCTATTTCGTGGCGGTCAGGTTTTATTGGAGGAAGCCGGAGTGCCCGGAGAGAACCACCGACCTTCGGTAGGAAAACTCACAATCCTAGTCAATTAAGATTGGAGTCAAGTGCACCTGTCCTGTGCGGGATTCGAACACATAACCAGTGTTGACTGGCTAGTGATACATTATTTGGACTACTTAGACCGCTCGGCCACCGAGGCCCCACAAATGATTCTAAGGTTAACAGTTGAGGAGGGAAGGACTGACAGAAGTAAACGAGTATACCCCCTAACACCCTCTTGTGTGAAAAACCATCAATAATCTATATAGAATGTGCATGTTCAATGTGTATATAAAAACATTTAAAAAAAAAATTAACCTGTTTTTTTACTTACTTTGTAATTGTTCAACTTTGTCTCCACTTTCCTTTAGTCTTGATTCAGAGTCTTCCATTTTTGCTATATACAGAAAATAAAGTTATAAATGACAACTATTGTTGTGATATGTCCCAATATCGAAATGATACAAATACTTCCTATACATATGCTTTCTCTTCATTCTAAATTTTACAATTAAACATCTTCAAATAGCTTGATTGCAATAGATATGATTTTTTGTAATTTGAAAGGCCATATAAATAGTACTGACAGAATGCAAGTAAGGAAAGAAAATATTCACTCATTTTAACAAAAAAGCAAAATAAATGAAATCTAGTCTCTCAGAAGAAGTTAAAAGAGAGAAACACTGGCTGAACAATTCACAACATGAGGTTTAAATCTTTGATGTATATATACAAATATTCTATAAAGGCTGAAAATTTAACTTATTCTACCCTCTAAAAAATCTTTAAAATAGGTACACAAAGTGTTGTGAACATATTTAATGTCTTTACAAACATTAACGCTCTGGGCTGAAAACTGCAAGATGAGTTGATTACGTGAAACAGGTACCGTGTTTTCTCTGTCAGATTGTGACTATTTCAATCCTCTTTTCAAACAAAAGAAGTGCTTTCAACTTATTTCAAATGGGCTAAAAGACGCACATATTGATTACTGTAACCAATATTGCTTATATATTAATTATATATAAGGAATGGTTGCTACAGTAGTTTATTTGGGTGCAGGACAGCCATCATTCTACTAGCAACAGACACATATTTTGTAAGCTATGCACTATTTGCTAACTCTGACCTCTACAAAAAAGTCACACAAAATTATCAAATATCAATGCTTCTGTAGACATTTCAAAATCAAAACAACTGAAGGTATAGGTTAACTTCTCTCTTATCAACATTACCTTTGTATTTTTCTATTTCATAGTGTAATTCTTTCAGTTTATCTGTAAAGTATAAAAAACAAACATATTAATTCATTGAAGTGGAAAATCAGCCTGTGGTATGTCTTACATTTTTATTCTTGTATTATTTACTTTTCCTTTTTTCTTCTGGAAATGGATAACTATGTATGTACTATTTCTCTTCTTTTTTATATTTTTGTTTCCTTTTTCTTCTAAGTCTTAAAATGCCTGTAACTTCCCACACAATTTTAAAATCACTAGTATTATTTGCATCAAATGTTTCATACTTGTTTATAATGTTATTTCTGATTTCACCATAACTTACTTTCAGATTCTTCAGGGTCTAAATCTTTAAGACTTGTAGGGATGATCTTTGATGTTTCATCTAATAAAACAAAAACAGATACAATAAATCCGTAAGTTTTCAGTTATATTTCTGCAAACAAACCCACAATCCTCTTTAACTGACCAGATTTATTGACCAGACCATTATGTTTTCATGTTTTATTGTTAGGGTTTCACATAGGTTTTTTTTTTAATTGTTAATATTTTGTCCAAGAAAAGATGTCCTACCTGTCCACTGATCATATTTTTGTTGGTCACACCTAGGAATTTTCCAAATCACCAAAAATTTTGTGCTCACATGACACCAAATCACAATTAAACAATATGAAAATTTTTAGTCACTCAAGCTTGAATAGGGACTTATCATCATATTCTCCTCAAAACTGAAGTGCATGGACTTTACTTCAACAGCAAACCAAAAATCAAGGTATATGAAAAATACCTGTTCTTCAAAACACCTTATGAGAAAAGTTCATTTAATTTGATTCCCTGAAGCATAGCTAAGAGTATAGGGCCTCATTTATTGCATGCAGTTGAGATTAATGGTTACTGATGTGACTGCATATCAAAAATCAATGATGCAGCATAATAACTTTTACTGAAATTGATGTTCTAAGAAAAAAACTATGTGTTTACAAAACAAAAGTAACTCCATTGTCATTTAGTAACATATATCAAAATAAAGGGAAGTAACCCAGATTTCTTATAAAATGTCATAATGAAATTTCTTCACAAGTCAAAAACAAATAAACAGTGAGCTGTGTCTTACCAGATGTATCAGAATTGAACAATTTTTTCTCATCAGTATTCTTGTCTTCTGTTTCATCATCATCTGTCTTTTCATCCAAATCTTTCTCATGATTGTTTGGTTCTTTCATTGATTCTAGTTTTTCTAAAATGTAATTTGGGTTATTTAAAATCAAGCCAAGAATTGTTTTAAAAAGCACTAAATTGGTATATGAAGAGTTCACAATCTACCATGCAGTGCCTTCAATTTAGCTTTATATACTATCATTTTCACAGAAAAAAAATCCAAATATTTATATAATAAAATGCTTCGCTGGGGCGCAGCTTGATACGACCGCAGAGGTCGAACCCTGAACAGTTGGGGCAAGTATGGACACAACATTCAAGCTTGATACAGCTCTGAATTTGGATTGTTATTAAATATTTGACACAGCATAGGTTTCTGACACAGAAAGAATGTGGTCTAAGAACTTGAATTTTTTTAATTTACCTATTATGGTCCAATGTCCAAAATCAAAATACATGGTTAGATTCAGCATATCAAAGAACCCCATATATTCAATTTTTGCTAAAATCAAACTAAGTTTAATTTTGGACCCTTTGGACCTTAATGTAGACCAATTTAAAAAACGGGACTTAAAATTAAAAATCTAAATACACGGTTAGATTTGGAATATCAAAGAACCCCAATAATTCAATTTTAGATGAAATCAAACAAAGTTTAATTTTGGACCCTTTTGACCTCAATATGAACCAATTTGATAGCGGGGCCTACAAATAAAAAATCTAAATACATGGTTAGATTCAGCATATCAAAGAACCTCATATATTCAATTTTTGTTGAAATCAAACAAAGTTTAATTTTGGACCCCAATTTGGACCAACTTGAAAACTGGGCCCATAATCAAAAATCTAAATACATGTTTAGATTCAGTATATCAAAGAACCCCATATATTCAATTTTTGTTGAAATCAAACAAAGTTTAAATACTGGACCCTATCTTGGACCAACTTGAAAACTGGGCCCATAATCAAAAATCTAAACACATGTTTAGATTCAGCATATCAAAGAACCCCAAGAATTCAATTTTTGTTAAAATCAAACTAAGTTTAATTTTGGACCCTTTGGACCTTAATGTAGACCAATTTAAAAAACGGGACCCAAAATTAAAAATCTAAATACATGGTTAGATTTGGAATATCAAAGAACCCCAATAATTCAATTTTAGATGAAATCAAACAAAGTTTAATTTTGGACCCTTTTGACCTCAATATGAACCAATTTGATAACGGGGTCCACAAATAAAAAATCTAAATACATAGTTAGATTCAGCATATCAAAGAACCCCATATATTCAATTTTTGTTGAAATCAAACAAAGTTTAATTTTGGACCCCAATTTGGACCAACTTGAAAACTGGGCCAAAAATCAAAAATCTAAATACATGTTTAGATTCAGCATATCAAAGAACCTCATATATTCAATTTTTGCTAAAATCAAACAAAGTTTAATTTTGGACCCTTTGGACCTTAATGTAGACCAATTTGAAAACTGGACCAAAAATAAAAAATCTAAATACACTGTTAGATTCGGCATAACAAATAAATAAATGTGATCAAAGATTTTACAAATCTAATGCGCCATACTGTGCAATTAAAGATTACTTCTTGAAATTTTTCAATATTTAAAATTTGAAAAAAAAATATTTGAAGAATAATTCTTTTTAATTTCTGAAATCTGAAATGAGAAAAAATTGGCCCCCCATAATTTCTTTTTATCCCCCCCCCCCCTTTTCCCCCCAAAAAAAATTCTTTCCCTCAAGATATGGTCATAATCTCAATTCAAATTTCCAATGGAGTTGGCAACCATAATTACCCATTTAAATTTACCATAGTGCTAACTTAATCTATTTTATAATAGAATTAATAAAAATATAGTGTCAAATCTTTCATATGGATTTTTTTGTAAAAAAAAAAGATGCAACATTTGCAGATATTTTTACTGGTCTTCCTTTATAAATATGCATTTCTTTAAACATAATTTAAAAGCAGTGTAAGGGAAGTAACCAAAACGTTGTATTTGGATTACCTCCCTTACACTGTTTTAGATTATCTTTATTGTTCATTAACCATTACTTTATACATAATTTAAAAGCAGTGTAAGGGAGATAATTTCAATGATGTATTTGATTTATCTCCCTTACACTGCTTTAAATTATGTTTTGAACTAAAGTATTTGTCCATTAACCAGGACAACCTTGTTTTTCCCCCTTTTTTGCCCCTAATTCCTAAACAGTTTGAGCCATGACCCCCCAAAGCAAATCCTAACCATCCCTTTGTGGTATGGAAACTTGTAGTATAATTTCAGAGAGATCCATACACCGTTCCACAGTTATTGTCTGGAAACTAGAAAATGCTCATTTTTGGCCCCTTTTTGGCCCCTAATTCCTTAACTGTTGGTACCATAACCCCAAAAATCAATCCCAACCTTCCTTTTGTGGTATTTAACCTTATGGTCAAATTTCAAAAAGATCCATTCACTTAAACTAAAGTTAGAGTGCGAAAACCAATGTGTATTCGGACGACGACGGCGGACGACGACGACGACGCCAACGTCATACCAATATACGACCACAAAATTTTTTTGCGGTCGTATAAAAATAGAATTGCCTAAAATTAAAGATAAATAAATCATCCTACATGAAATTAACATTTTTGGGCAATAAAATACTGTTAATAATGCATTGTTTAATGTAAATATATCCAATGATCTTAATAAAAAAGAAATAAGTTATACATTTCTATAAACTTGTGTGTGTAATTAGTATTATGTCAAACCTTTTAATGAAGCTATTTCTTCTCTCGCTACATCATTATCTGATTGCAATGCCTCCATCTGAAATTTAAAAAATAAAATTGAATATGTATGAATATATGTACAGTATATGCTATAGCTAAATCTTGTAAACAATTCTAAAATCCAAATAAAAATATTCTATAGAAACCATAAAATATTCTGTTTGTCTCATTAAATGGTAAAAGCTATCATGGTAAAACAGGAACCTTACTGAATTTTATGGTCATTAGTTATTCAGTAGAAAAAATATAGAACATAATTTGATTTGTTGATTATCAAACAAACGATAGACAGATAAAACTAAAGATGACTTTACTGTACATTCACTTCATATAGGAACATCAACATATAAGTGTTATTGCCTTATTTACGTTATAACTGTTTTAATATTTCATCTAAGAGAGATCAAAATTTTCCCTAAAAGCGAAGTGAACTACTATCTGTTACCTTTGCTGATAAAATGCTTTCCTCTTTCATAAGATCCTCTATTTTTTCCATGAGGTCAGTTTTTTCTTTGTCAAATTTTTCTCTCTCTTCCATATGACTATTCTCTGCATCCTATATCATAAAGCAGCAGACATTTAAATACTTTAAATTAAATAGAAAAGTAAAATTGACCTGGAAATTTATTACTTTAGAATTCAGAAAATAGATAAGAAAGTAGATTACTGTGAATTCATTCATTTTCATAGACACCTAATTTCAGGGATTGGGGAAATAAAATTGAGAATGGAAGTTTGTATTTCTGTAGATATTTGATTTCTGGGTTTGCCAAAGTCTGCATACAAGTTTATAGAAAATTGTACTTTGTTGAACATTTAAATTTGTGGTTTTTACCTATACCCATGAAATACAAGAAAAATTGGTATCTCACAAATAATAATGAATCCATTGTATTTACTTCCATTCCTTATTAAAAACATTGTATACAAAAATACAACTTCAACTGTAACATACGTTTTATTTTCAAGAAAAAAAGAAAGACAAAATGTTGAAAGTGTTGAATGCAATTTCATAAAAAATAAAAAACGGCAACTTTTTAATGTCTTTCAACCTTAACCATATCCATAACATAACTGCTTTATAAGATACATGATCTGTTAAAAGTTAATCATGTGAATTTGACCTGTTTTTCTCCTCAAAAGACCTGCAACTTCCATCAAGGATGCAAAAGTTTTATAGATTTCTTTATTTCTTTTTGATCCTATGACCTAAATATCAGCTTATTTAGCTGGTCCTATGACAATGTTACTTTTTTTCCAGACTGTTAACTTTGACCTTAGTTTTTTCATTGACTGTAAATAAAGATTTGCCACTTTTCTAAAGATGGACTATTGATTTTACATGTAAAGAACTGTATAAAAAATACCACTCATGCCACCTGATTTACTTATCAATTTAATCAGCTGATCTTGATATTATTATTCTATAAATTGGTACCTGTAGTTGCCCCTGAATATTTGACACTTCTTTGAGTTGATCCTGATATTTTTCTGCCAGTTGTTGCAACTCTTCTTGTGATTTTTCACACATATCTTTAAGATGACTACATTCTTCTTCTGTGTTATGTAATGATCTCTGTTGATATAGGTGATAAGAGTTTAATGCTTCTTAAAATATCAACAACCAAATTTGTATTAACTTTCTATAGTTGCTTTATAATATACAGTTTTATTGATCCATTCTGTATTTTACCTAACCATTCTTAGAAGATCTCTTACTCATGTTTGTTCGTCTTTAGATACTTATCTACCTTTTATTCCCTATGAATAATACAGGGGAAACAGCATACCAGTGTCAAGGAACTTGGGCCATACCCTCACCCAGCTCTATATGAAAAGACTCATAGATTTTCTTATCCCTTCCCTTTAAAATGTAACCCAAATATAACACCACCCTGGAAATAAAGAATTATACCTAACATTGCCAAATTGAAAATATTGAAACTATTGATGTTTCCAGACATAAATAATGAAATCTGTATTGAAAAGGAAATTTCCCAAAATAGTTGAAGGCTAATTGGTAATTGGTGTAATATAAGAGCATTATTTCAGTAATCATGATTAATGTGATGACTATCAAGTATTTTACTATCCATATTTTTTCTGAACATATACATTAATAAGAAGGTATCCCTGTAGAATCTCCTACAGCTGATTACACTTACCTCTAAATCTGATAATTTTCTCACAGCTTCTAATTTTTCTTGTAAAACTCTCCTTAATGATTCCTGAAAGGTACATATTGTTTACAATTTAACCAGTGTTTAAAAAGATATTTTTCATATTAGAAAAAAATAAGTGACTCCTGTATATATAAATATCTAACAAATCAACTTGGCATCTCATATAATAATACTGGTCTTCCTTCTAAAAACTGTTTGATTCAAGGGTACTCCTACCTTGACATTGAAAGAATGGTTTCTTTCAAGATGAAATAGCTGGCATTTCTACATCATTAGAGTTATTATGACATAACATAAAATATTAAATTGGAATGCAATACTGATATTTGTTTTTTATACCGTTTCACTAATGATTTGGTGCTTTTTATTTAAAATTCTTTGACCTACTTATATTCTCATTTTGCATCTGAGTATGAAATAGAACAGATTGGTGGAATGATTGCCACAAAAACTGTTTTTCCAGTAAAAAAATATTCTAAATATATCATTGCAAATACAAGTTATTTGCATAAATAACTTTTCCCATTATTAAAAGTCTCACCTTAGCAGTTGTTTCATACTGTAACTTTTCTTCTTGAAGAGTTACAACTTCTTGTCTTAAAGCATCTTCTGAATGATTCTACAAATATATTATATTTAAAGTTATTCATAACCTATCATGTCTTTAAAATGAGTTAAAGCTGTTATCCTAATGCTAGCAAGTTAAAGGTTTGGTTGGCTTGCTTGCTTTGTTTGTATAAATGTTTGCAAGCATTGTAATTAAGATTGACATCTGCAATCAATAGATAGGAAGGGCTTCAACTTGTATACATTGCTTAACTTCCAATAACATTTATAAGTATAATGTATACAAGCTGAACCCCCCCCCCCCTATCTTTTGATAGCAGATGTCAATCTAAGTTACAATGCTTGACCAAACAAGTTTCATAACATTTGGTTGAGGCAAACTAAAGTTAGAGAATGGAAACAAATTTTGGGACGTACGGATGGACGTACAGAAGGACAAGGGTAAAACTTAATGCTCCCTCTTCTACGGCGGGGGCATAAAAAAAAGTCTGCACATAAAAAGTACTACTATATATTGGCAGTAAATAATGATATCAAAATTTGAAGGTGAATAATTTCCATAATAAATAAATGGGGAATGTGTCCATGGGCCACAGATGATATCCCCGCTTGCATATCATATAAAGTTAGAAAGGGACATAACTGAAGAACGGTAAAAGTGACGATCCCCAAATTTGTACTTGATCTGAGTTTTGTGGTAATAAGTATTGTGTATAAGTTTCACAACATTTGGTTGCGGCAAACTTAAGTTAGACAATGGAAATGAAAAATTCAGCAATTTTTCCAATTTGTAAAGGGGCATAACTCTAGAACAGTAAAAGTGACGCCACCAAAATTCAAATTTAATCTGTATTTTGTGGTAATAAGCATTGTGTATAAGTTTCATAACATTTGGTTGAGGTAAACTTAAGTTGGGAGAACGAAAACGAAAAATTGAGCAATTTTTCGATTTGTAAACAGGAATAACTCTGGCACAGTTAAAGTGACACCACCAAAATTCAAATTTATCTGCATTTTGTGGTAATAAGCATTGCGTATAAGTTTCATAACATTTGGTTGAGGCAAACTAAAGTTAGAGAATGGAAACGAAAAATTCAGCAATTTTTCCATTTGTAAAGGGGCATAACTCTAGAAAGGTTAAAGTGATGCCACCAAAATTCAAACTTGATCTGTGTTTTGATGTAAATAGCATTGTGTATAAGTTTCACAACATTAGGTTGAGGCAAACTTAAGTTAGAGAATGGAAATGAAAAATTCAGCATTTTTTCCAATTTGTAAAGGGGCATAACTCTAGAACAGTAAAAGTGACGCCACCAAAATTCAAATTTAATCTGTATTTTGTGGTAATAAGCATTGTGTATAAGTTTCATAACATTTGGTTGAGGTAAACTTAAGTTGGAGAACGAAAACGAAAAATTGAGCAATTTTTCGATTTGTAAACAGGAATAACTCTGGAACAGTTAAAGTGACACCACCAAAATTCAAATTTATCTGCATTTTGTGGTAATAAGCATTGCGTATAAGTTTCATAACATTTGGTTGAGGCAAACTAAAGTTAGAGAACGGAAACGAAAAATTCAGCAATTTTTCCATTTGTAAAGGGGCATAACTCTAGAAAGGTTAAAGTGATGCCACCAAAATTCAAACTTGATCTGTGTTTTGTTGTAATAAGCATTGTGTATAAGTTTCATAACATTTGGTTGAGGCAAACTAAAGTTAGAGAATGGAAACCAACTTTGGGACGTACATACGGACGGACATACAGACGGACAAGGGTAAAACTTAATGCCCCCTCCGCTACGGCTGGGGCATAAAAAATAAATAGTATAACTGAAAATGATCTTTGTCAAATCAGGTAAACTGAAAATTTCTATTTCTTCCAACATAAGTGTATAGATAGACAAACACATGTTCAGTATTAAAGTGAGTAATTTATTGATGCAAATGCTTGTTGGAAAATGCAAGCAGTACCACTGAGTTCAAGATCAATTTTAAAATTGTGATCTACGAAAACCTTATGGGCATCTTTACCCCTGTAATTAAAGAATCATTAAACATGTCACTAATTCAGTTTTCTTCGCCTATAATATCAATATTTGAGTTGTGTGTTCGGACACAGGAACAGCAAATTTTTGTCTAGATCTAGAGTGCTTTGACACCAAAATAACTGTAATTGTCCTATTGGAAAAGAAATAGTTCATGGGGGCTTGAATTATTTCTTAATTAACCAGTACACTCCACGACTTTAAAACTGAGCTATTTAGAAAGTATTAAAAGTGTACACTCCCATCCTTTAACTTAGCTTTAACTATCTTTCACTTACTTTTGAGTATGTATGTAGTTGATTTTCTAGCACCTCTAGTCTGGATAATAATCTGTCTTCATCAATTAAAGCCTGAAAATAATGATATTTTAATCAAATCAAAAGTTGTAGTTTGTTTTCAACTTCTAAACATACAATCATAATGATAACAATCACACCAGTATTAGTAGTAAAGTAGAACATTTATGTTTTGTAAAAACAATTTAGTTTTTGGTAACAGAGACATAAATCAAGACATCATTAAATGATGACATAGTACTAAACCTAAGGCTGCAGTTCTCTCTGGTAAAGTTGACATTATAGGCAGTTTTTGGCTGTTCTGTTAAGGTCCTTGATATAAAAGGCAGTTTTTGGCTGTTCTTGTTTAGTCGTGACATTATAGGCAATTTTTGGCTGTTCTGTTTAGGTCCATTTGTTTTTTGTGCTAGCAAACAATCTACATTCATTGCTTCTCCAAACTTTTGGTGTACTGGAGAAAGGTTATGCCAGAAATATGTTATGAATGCACAGAAATCTTATTGTATGATTCTTTCTCCCCTTAAATGATGCCTTTTCTGCTTTCTGATCAGTAATGTTTATAAATTTCAAACAGTATCCTATTTTAAACTCCATTGTACAGTGGTGACAACACAAAACTCAAATTTTAGCAACTAATAAAACATCTGTCAATTGATTTAAAAAAACATGTACTGTACAAGGCTTCCAAAACGGTCATATATTCCGGACATTTGTATAATGTCCGGTAAAAGTCCGGCTGGGCAAAGCATGAAACGGACATCTACTTTTTAGTTTTCAAGGCTTAAGAGATGGTCATTTTAACATAATTCACGATCTTTTTGACCCAATCTTTTGCCTTTAACAGCCACACATTTCCGGTCATAAAAGTGACATGATCATTAAGTACTATCAAAACAACCCCTACTTTAATACCTTCTCATTTTAATCAAGGCTAATTAGTTGTCGAACAGCTGAATTTACCTGTTCAGGTGACAGGTAAACTATTTTGAACCGGACATTGATCGGTCTATTCAAAGTTATTTTCTTACATTTCAAAGGTTTGCATCTAATTAATTTAGTCAAAAAGATTTAAATTATCAGAAATACGTTTACAAATATGATTTGATGAAAAAATTAAAAAGGTGAAAATGAAAAATCGTCGTAACCACGTTGTTTGAACCAGAGACATGTCTCTGTTTGAACTAGTACACGTGTGCGCATGTGCGCAGGTGTGAAATTTAATTATGCATACTAATTTCTTCAAAAAATGCTTAAATTGTCATTGATACCTTTATCTCACGTTTATTTCGAATATTTTCTTGAAGAAATAACGTAGAAAGAGCTACTTACACTCATTCATGCTTTGCAAACGTACACGGAATTTACGTATCCGTCTCTTGTCCATGTTTTACCATTGTCAAGATAACATCCGGTTTAGATTTAAAAATGAAAGTAAAGTTTTTGACAACGTTATTTTGCACAAATAAAGAGTCTAAGCAGATATAAGTACGCTGATGTTGCACACTTCGAATGATGCACTGCCAATTTAACAGTTTACGTCAGAACTTCGAATTTGAATCTAAGAAAGTTTAATATCGTTTTTTTTTTAATGTCAATCATTGGGATGGCCAACTCGGCAACTGATTACCATAATTGCCTTTTATTTATTTAGTCTTAAGTGATTAAAATCGGGATAATATATAAAATGTCCGGCTGGCTAAAAATAATTTTGGAAGCCCTGGTACTTTATATGTACACTTCATATATATGTATATTTGCCATAAGGTGCTAAGTTAAATATCTAACTATGTAAGACATTTCGGTATTCCAAATAGTACCAAAACACAAACTTTACATAGGGCTATCTTTATTCCTTTTTAAAATTACTTTAATATAATTTGTATATAGTTTTTCCAGAATATCATGTTACAGTTTCCCACAAGGTCCTGATTAAGCTTCTGTCCATTAAACCCTATATATTTAAAGAAGTTTAAATGTATACTAAAGATGGACAAAAAAGAAGTACAAATGGCCTTTCAGACCAGATGAGTTTAAACAATATGATTCTAATGTTTAAATGATTATACCTGCCAGCCATCTTCTGATGATTCCTGTGTGTTGTTTAACAACTGTTGTAATGTACTAAATTTCTGTTCTAACATCTTTTCTCTGTGTAAGGCCTCCTGTAAGTTGAAAAAAATGGGTAAAATAAAGTAATACAACATCTAAATAAATATAAATCAAATGTTTGAGAGGACACAAAACCAGGTTTCTGAGAAAAAATTTAAACGATATGATATTCCTTCACTAAAATCCTTGATACATTGGTTTGAGGCACATAACTATTTCAGATGGTTACAGATGGTTGGCTGTCTCATTGAAATTATACCAAACATTTACTTTTACTCACAGGCAAACAAAATTTGATCTTTAAATAAAGTTTCATGCCAATGAACCATTCAAATAAGAACAAGTAGTAAATATAATAAACTGCTTCACTGAGCGCAGCTAGATACGCCCGCAGAGGTCCAACCCTGAACAGTTGGGGCAAAAATGGACACAATATTCAAGCTTGATTCAGGTCTGAATTTGGATTGTAATTAAATATTTGACATATGATAGGTTTCTGAATAAATGTAGTCAAAGAACTTGAAATTGGTTATATGAATTGAATTTATATTCAATTAAAGATTTCTTGCTGTTGTGCAATACTTAGTAAATCTGTTGTAAATAGATATAAGAAGATGTGGTATGAGTGCCAATGAGACAACTCTCCATCAAAGTCAAAATTTATAAAAGTAAGACTATAAACAAATAAAGTTCAATAATTCTCAATGTCATATTAGAAATTTATGAAAATAAAAAGGGAGCTTACATCAATAGATATAAACAATTCACCAAAGTTTCATGAGAATTGGTGACAGCATTTTTGAGTTATTGTCCGAAAACTGGAAAATCACCCCTTTTTTTAATGAATAAAACCCATAACTCAGAAATGTAAAATTTTAAATTTATAAAATTCTAAAGGGAGCTTACATCAATACATACAAACAATTCACCAAAGTTTCATAAGAATTGCTGAAAGCATTTTTTAGTTTTTGTCAGAAAAATGGAAAATCCCACCTTTTTTTTATGAATAAAACCCTGTAACTCGGAAATGTAAAATCTTAAATTTATAAAAATAGAAAGGGAGCTCATGTAAATAGATATAAACAATTCACCACAATTTCTTGCAAGTTGATAAAAGCATTCTTGACTTATTGTCCGAAAAATGGAAAATTCCCCTTATTTTAATAAATAAAACCCCATAACTCGGATATGTAAAATCTAAATTTTAAAAAAACGAAAGGGAGCTCACATCAATAGATATAAACAATTCACCAAAGTTTTATGCAAATTGGTTAAAGCATTTTGGAGATAATGTCCGACATGTTGACGATGGACGGACAGACGGACGGACGGACAGAGGTATACCATAATACGTCCCGTAAACGGGCGTATAAAAATAAGGAGATGTGGTATGATTGCCAATGAGACAACTCTTCACCAGAGACCTATTGACATAGAAGTGAACAACTATAGGTCACATTGGGAGACATTTTGATGAATACAGGCCATAAAACTATACCTGTAAATACTGGGCTAATTGGTAAAGTTCCTGAGACTGTATAGTGAAACCTGGGGTAACAGTATTGGCAAAGTGTCCATCAGTGTAACTGTAACAGAATACAATTCATTTATAATACATCTCAAGTTTGGTTATGAATCAAAACTGTTAAAGAAAATGCACATATATTTATTTATTGAATTATTATTTTTCATATAAATAAATGGGCAAAAGATGTCATTTTATCTGTGTTTTCTTAGTTTTAAATCATAATATACAAGGATTTGCATAACAACATGAAACCACCCTGATGGTCTGCGGTAGCATAATTGCCTCTTTGTAGGGATGTTATTTGTTCTATCCCCAGCTAGGTCAAACCAAAGATTGGAAGATTTGTATTTGCTGTTTCTCTCCTAAGCACATAGCATTTTGGAGTAAAAGCAGAGAATGGTTGGCTTGGAAACAAAATAAAATGTCTTGGTAGGGTGACATGTCTTCCTGTGGACTGCTATCTTCTGAACTAGCACATTAAAATTCTGACTCAGCTTGTAGGTGTAGTACAACGCAGGATTATTTCATTATCTTATTCACGTTCTCATCCTGATATGCATGTAATGTTTGCCACTGGACATTTAACATTAATCCTTCATCATCATAACCACATGAATGTTACATATTTCTAAACCAAAATTTTAGATATCTAAATATCACTGAATGACGTAGAATGAGTTGTATGTCATTTTACTTGCATATAAACTCTTATAATCTATAGAGGCCTTTGGTTATTTTGAATATTAGCACAAATAGACTGTAACTCTATTTCTACACATGACCTTTACCTAAATGAATTAAAACAAATTTTATAACTAAGAATAGTTTTAATAAAAAGTTCTGTACCTCTCAATCCATACAACACTTGGTCTACATCCCATGTTGTTAAGCTAACTTTATTTTGTTGTTATATCTGAATTATTGATTATTTGTATATATTATACACTTATTTGTATATATATATTATACACTTATTTTCACATAATTATTGTAATTAAATATTATCATCTTTCTGACTGTTTATTTGTTCATTATTTAACAACCAATGAATACAAGGACAATCAGTATTTATAATGGCTGTTTTAAGTACATGGGATCCATATGAAAGGATTTTGCTTCTGGACAATTAAAACAATATACCATTTTCTTTTTCCATGTGATTTCATTACTCAATGTCCTAGTTTAAATTCACACTACAGTTATGCCATCATTATTAAATTAATCTGTCTCATGTAAATTTATCAAATCTATTTCCATTTGGTGGTGGCCTAAATTCAGTGACAAACAAAAATTTCACTTCAATCTGTCTGTTCTCACACAACACTTGTTTTTGACAGCATTGAGATGGTTGTCATTAAAAGGTGGAAAATAAGGATTTAGCCTTGCTACATTTGCTTTGAACAAAATCTCTATAAATTGTATTATCTTGGGAGGCTTGATATTCCGTAGTACAGTATTATACTCTATGTTTCTTCCTGGATATTGACTTTGATGTATAACTTACATATTCTTTGCTTCCCTGCCATCTGGATGAAACAAGGTAATGGTTGCTATTATACATCCATGAGTTACTGAAATAAAAATATTATCATTGTCAGGCGTACTATTAGAGAATACTATTCTAATTTATACAAGAACAAGTTTTAAACTTTACACACATTAATCTATCTTCATCAATTGAGTATAACCAAACGATACTATTTAAATGAATGTATCTGCTTTTTCATGTGTTATTTTCCCACACAGACTAGACATGCTAATTCTATTACAAACTTCATTTACTGAACATACTTTTATATATAACGAACAAAAAAAGACAACCATTTGAGAAACTACATCAAAAGATCATTGTTGGATTTATACATGTATGGTGAGAGAGAGAGTGAGGAAATATTATGTGTATCAAAATTCTGTCAAGTTTTGTTTTGAGACATAATTTTTAATAAATGAGCTGGGGCTTGTCTTATACTCCTTACATAGCGTAGTTACTTTTAGTAACATTTCTGGGACATCCCATTTCTATCTTAAGTTTTAATATGTTTGGTGATTCTTGTTATCTCATGAGGGGAACCAGTCAACTAACATCTTTGTATAATACAAAAGCAAAAAGGGGAACCAGTCAACTAATGTCTTTGTATAATACAAAAACAAAAAGGGGAACCAGTCAACTAACGTCTTTGTATAATACAAAAGCAAAAAGGGGAACCAGTCAACTAACATCTTTGTATAATACAAAAGCAAAAAGGGGAACCAGTCAACTAACGTCTTTGTATAATACAAAAACAAAAAGAAACATATCTATCTTGGCATCTTAATTTTCCCTATGATGAAAGATGAACGACATTTCTATTGATCATGTACATGTACAGAAACATTTTAGATAGATCTCATGCCTAAGTTTTTCATTTTAAGTCTGTGTGATTATCAGTGTGTACATTTTGTGTCAAACCATCAATACAACAACAAATGATGTATAACCCTTCATCTATGATAGCTTTAGTGTGTGGGTGATTTTATATCATTTTAAGGTACTTTAACTAAATAAAGGAACACAGCCTTCAGGTGGTTGATCATTAAAATAATATTAACAGTTTTAATATGCTTCATTAACACAGCTTTCTTTTGTATATCATGTATATCGACTACTTTAATGATGTATATTTCAAGCTAGGTTTTATAATCACAGTATGTTATATAATATTTAATAAACACAGTATTATACAAAATAACAAGTGTTCATTATTCAAAAGTGAAAAAAAAATACTGAAAAGAAGAAAAGAAATAATATGTAGCCCTTCCCCCTAAATTTTTTTTAAAATATAACAATGAATCAAATGAACATGAATAAAAAACAAACAAAAATAAGGAAAGATGACTATGAAAATAATTTTTTCAAGGAACTACACATTATATCTTAAAACAAACATCAACTACTTGACATTTCCAGTTTACTTTTATTCTTCCTGGTTGGTATCTATAAAATAAATACATACTTTTTTCTCCTCTTCTGTTATTTTCCATCACATCAACACCGAACTGTATGTGGTCCCCAGAATATGCCTCTCTGGGAGAGCTCTCCTCTCCCCCTTTACAGAGGCGTTGATTGTTAATGAATGTACCATTGCTGCTTTTTGTGTCTTGGAGGTAGAACTATAAATATAAGATAAACAAATTACAGATGTACAATGTATTATGAATGGAGGGTTTTCTATACTAAACCTAATCAATGCATTATAAAGAAAAACTTCTGGATATAATCTGGTAGTGTCTGAAAACTAGAAAGACCAATATGTAGTGGATGTTTATTTATTGTGTATCAGAACATTTCATCATGTTACCATAGGCAGAACAAAACTGATTAATACTAGATATTTCACAAAGCAGTAGAAGAAAAGAAAAACTTTAATGTATAACAATTTTTGGGAGAAATAGTTCTACCTGTTCATGAGAGAAAAAGGAAATCCTAATAGTCAAACATCCTAGTCCATGTGCTTTATTAGGTTGGCAGGAAAATTACCCAAATTAGCCAAAACACTAGTCTAACTATGCCTATGGGAGAAAGAAAATAATTCCTAGCCAAACATTGAAACAACCTAGCCCACCTGTACCTAAGGGAGGAGCAAACGTATTACTAGCCAAAACATCCTAGCTAATGGTAACTAAGGAAGGATTACTTGTGAGAGTCGAAGATGGAAAATTATCATAAGCCCAGACAGTCGATTCTACACCTGCCTGAGGAAGAACTACCTGTACATGAGAAAAGCAAAATTTTTCTACCAAAAACATCCTAGTACAATTGTTTCTAATGGCAAAGCAAACTTATTACCAGTCAAAACATCCTAGAGTAGACTACTTGTACCTAAGTTAGAGGCAAACTTTTTACTAGCCAGAACATCCTAGACCACCTGTATTTAAATAGGGATGTCCTGTGGTTGTGGAAGAAGGAATATTATCATTATTCCACACAACCTAGACTACCTGTGCATGTGGGAGGACTTCCTGAAAATGAGATGGAAAATTTTTGCAGGCTAAAACGATTGCAAAATATGACACACAAAAATACTTCCTCTGGTTAACTTAAGTTAAAAACTCTCACTTCTTTTGCCAAAAATCTTCCATCATAACCTGCCAACAAGCTAATGAGAAATTATAATCATATTTCAACAAACAGCAAGAAAAATCAATGCAAAGACAGATAAACTAAATTAAGCATTATAACATGCATAACAGATCAGGGATCTTAGTTAAAATTAACTGATTTCAATCTTGCCATAAACATTAACTTGAGGCTCTAAGAAGCTGTACTGCTCACATAGTATCTATGTATAATGCAGTCATATCTACATAAATGCCCAAACGCAAATCAGAAATCTGTAATTACCTTGCAATTGTCTGAGTAAAAGGGTTTTAGTATCACAACAATAAACTAGAGACTCTAAAGAGCCTGTGTCGCTCACCTTGGTCTATGTGCATATCAAACAAAGGACACTATCCAACATTGTAGACGAGAATTGACTTCATGATAAATATCTCTATTTTGATGATCTTCTATTACTGATCTTTCAGTCTGTTTAGTTTTTCTCTATCTTCTTTAGTTTTTGCTCAAAACACAAAAGAGGGTAAAAAAAAATCCTCATTTAAGGGCAGAGTGAAGAGTGAAAGTCTACTAACTATATCGGCAAAATTTGACTTTTTAATAAATCTTGCCTTGCTGATTATTTTTGTTATTTAAAATGTCTATTTATCTATTATAATTTGAATCATATAACACATAAAGGAAAAAAAATGTTTCTCTCTAAATATCATATAGTTTTCATGATAATAGGCAAAAATGAAAAAAAAATGGTAAAATTTGTCATTTATGGACAATAACTCCTATCAGAGTTTGGTCTAACAGTTTTGACGTATTTGGACAATTGGTAGAGCTCATTATTTTGAACACTTTTGCTCCTTTCAGATTTTCTCTATTTATAACGGTTCAAAAAATAAAAGACAAAACTTGCATTTTATCCCTATGTTCTATTTTTAGCCATGTCGGCCATTTTGGTTGGTAGGCTGGGTCATCGGACACATTTTAAAAACAAGATACCCTAATGATGATTGTGGCCAAGTTTGTTAAATTTGTCTCAGTAGTTTCAGAGAAGATTTTTGTAAAAGATTACAAAAATTTACAAAAAAATTGTTAAAAATTTACTATAAAGGGCAATAACTCCTTAAGGGGTCAATTGACCATTTTGGTCATGTTGACTTATTTGTAGATCTTACTTTGCTGAACAGTATTGCTGTTTACAGTTTATCTCTATTTATAATAATATTGAACATAACTAAAAACTACAAAATTTTCTTAAAATTACCAATTCAGGGGCAGCAACCCAACAACAGGTTGTTTGATTTGTCTGAAAATTTCAGGGCAAATAGATCTTGACCTGATGAACAATTTTACCCCCAAGTCAGATTTGCTCTAAATGCTTTGGTTTCAGAGATATAAGACAAAATCTACATTTTACCCCTATGTTCTATTTTTAGCCATGGCGGACATCTTGGTTGGTGGGCCGGGTCATCGGACACCTTTTTAAAACTAGATACCCCAATGATGATTGTGACTAAGTTTGGTTTAATTTGGTCCAGTAGTTTCAGCAGAGAAGAATTTTGTAAAAGTTAACGACAACGGACACCAAGTGATGAGAAAAGTTCACTTGGCCCTTTGGGCCAGATGAGCTTAAAAATTCGTAAGGGTTCCGCAGAACCCAGTGTCTCACCTACTTTTGCTGTTAATCGCAGGCTCAACAAAAATGAGATCAGGAAAAAATTTAATAAAAATATTCCTCTCGATACAATTTTTTTATTGTAAGAAGCTTCTGTCCAAGTTTGGTAAAAATCCAGGACAGTTTATGAATCTAATAACTGTTTTAAAAACTTTAACTGCAGACTGTATGTAATGTTAACTGGAAGAAAAACTAAGTCCATTTATAAGTAATATATGGAAAAACAGGAATTTTTTTTTTACAAAATTTCCTTCTAGATACTAGCTTTTGATCATAAACAAGCTTCTGTCCATGTTTGGTACAAATCCAGGATAGTTTAAGAAAGTTATTAAAATTAAAAAAAATTTAACCACAGAGTGAATGTAATGTTTCCTGGCAGAAAAACTAAGTCCATTTATATATAAGTAAAATACAGAAAAACAGGTTTTTTTTTTTTTAAATTTACTTCTGGATACTATCTTATGATCATAAACAAGCTTCTATCCAAGTTTGGTAGAAATCCAGGATAGTTTGAGAAAGTTAATAAAATTGTAAAAACTTTAACCACAGAGTGAATGTAATGTTTCCTGGCAGAAAAACTAAGTCCATTTATAAGTAAAATACGGAAAAACAGGAACTTTTTTTTTACAAAATTTACTTCTGGATACTATCTTATGATCATAAACAAGCTTCTGTCCAAGTTTGGTAGAAATCCAGGACAGTTTAAGAAAGTTATTAAAATTTCAAAAACTTTAACCACAGAGTGAATATTTGTGGACGCTGCCGCCGACAACGACAGAATGTAGGATCGCTATGTCTCGCTTTTTCGACAAAAGTTGAAGGCTCGACAAAAAGAAGAAAAGTAAACAGGATTAAATTCTGATGTTATCTGTCATTACTCATTTCATCTTATAAATACTAAACATTAGTCTTGTCATTGAGCAAGGCAGGTATTCAAATGTTAACAACAGATTCTAAAATATGGAAAATGTGTTCCTATGAAGAAGAGGATGAATTGCATTTTATTCTAATATGTCAATTGTATTTAAAATTACAAAGAAATCTTATCAAGCCTTATTTTTGGAAAAGGCCATAAGTGTACAAATTATCTGAATTTTTAGAATTTTCTTACGTTATTGAACTATGTAACCTTAGAAAATATATATATTTTGTGCATTGAAATTGAAAAAAAATTGTTTCTGATTCACTTTAGATAATTGTTTGGGTAAGGTTTTTTTGGTTTTATTCTGTAAGAATTTATTAATCTTCTGTCTGTCTTATCATGATCAAGTTTATCTGTATTGAAATAAAGAAATTTATTCCTCGAACTTTTTTTAAACTTATGGTAATAAAGAATTGAAATTGAAAGACAGTGAAATATGCCTAGAAGACATGAAAACTGAATAGAAAACTCTCATAATTCTCATAACATTTTCAAGTCATTAGTCTGATATTTGTAATTAGATCAAAAAGTCAACAATCACAACACTCATACGCAATGTGTAATGTGTTATTATACAGTAATATACAAAATATAACCTCATTATTTTCAAGGAGGGCTGACAAGGAAGGAGAAAAGACCATAATTAAGTCAAGAGTATTTCAATCAGACAAAAATTCATCTAAAACAATCATTATACATATAAACTCAATATCTATATTGAGGCTGATAATGTAGACGAACATTTTTATTTGAATGACATTGTCTAAATCCCATGACAATATAATTAAGTCAAAGAGTATTTCAATCAGACAAAAACTCATATAAATTCTGTGATCTGAAAACAATCATTAACAAATATTAACTCAATATCATCTACAAGAATTTAAATGAAATTGTCTAAGACTGATGACAATAACTAAGTCAAAATAAATTCAAACAGAATGAAACTCTCATCTGTAACTTCATTATAAATATATAGTCATACTTAATTACAAGATTGCACATGAAATATCTTGCCTGCTTATCTTTTAATCATAATTAAATAATAATGATAAGGTCAAATTAACCCTGCCAGAAAGATGTCATTCCATACACCAAATATTATTGACCTATTGCTTAATGTACATGAAAATGCCTGATAAACTGACAAAACCATGAAGAATTAACATTGACCAATAAACCATGAAAATGAGGTCAAGGTCAAATGAACCCTGCCAGACAAATATGTACACCTTACAATCATTCCATACACCAAATCTGATTGACATACTGTTTATAGTATCTGATTAACTGACAAATCCATGAAAACAAAACACTGACCAATGAACCATTAAATAAAGGTCAAGGTCATATGAACCCTACCAGTCAGACATGCACACCTTACAATCATTCCATAAATCAAATATAGTGACCCTATTGCTTAAAGTACCCGAGAAAAAGACCAAACTACAAAAACTAAACAT